TCATGTTGCCGCTTGCTTGGTGGTGCCCCTTGCTTAGTGTTGTTGCAGACTCTGGGGCCTTTCAGAACAGGTGTATATATACTGAGATTACACACAGATGGACTTTATTTAACTAATTATGTGACTTCTGAAGGTAACTGGTTACACCAGATCTTATTTAGGGGCATCATAGCAAAGGGGGTGAATACATATGCACGCACCACTTTTCCGTTATTTATTTTGTAGAATTTTTTGAAACAAGTTATTTTTTTCATTTCACTTCACCAATTTTGACTATTTTGTGGATGTCCATTACATGAAATCCAAATAAAAATCAATTTAAATTACAGGTTGTTGTGACGAGTACTGAGGATACGAAGAGGCAGGATGCAGACGCTTTAATTAACAAGGTAACGGTTTACTTAACAATGAGAAAGAGAATAACAAAGAGCGAGTAAACGACACGGCACTAACAATTACACACAACAATGAACGAACAGTCCAGGGCTATATAGTGATGATGATGAGGTGCAGGTGCGCTGGAGGTGATTAGGGTGCGTTGGGTTTCCATTCCTGTGTTTGCCGAGGTGGTGCGCTCAGACCGGTGGCTCAGTAGACCGGCGAATCAGAGCGCCGGAGGGGAGCAACGGGAGGAGACATTACAGTTGTAATGCAACAAAATAGGAAAAATGACAAGGGGGATGAATAGTTTTGCAAGGCACTGTAAAGCAGACAGGCATCCAGTTACTGTTCGATTGAACGTTAGAAGGGGCCAAACAAGTGACCTAAGCAACTTTGATCGTCGGTGCCAGCCACACCGGTTCTAGTATCTCAGAAATGGTTTCTAAGGTTTACAGAGAATGGTGCAACAAACAAAAAACATCCAGTCAGCGGCAGTCTGGTGGGCGAAAACAGCTGGTTGATGAGAGGTCGAAGGAGAATGGCAAGAATCGTGCAAGCTAACAGGCGGGCCACAAACAGGCAAATAATGCCGCAGTACAACAGTGGTGTGCAAAACGGAATCTCGGAACCCCCAACTCGTCGGTCCTTGTCACGGATGGGGTATTGCAGCAGACAACCACATCGGCGGTGGTGTAATGGTGTGAGGAATGTTTTCCTGGCACACATTAGGTCCCTTGATACCAATTGAGCAACGTTTCCATGCCCCAAAGAATTCAGTCTGTTCTGGAGGCAAAGGGTAGGTCCGACCCAGTACTACAGTGCCTTCAGAAATCTTGGTCTGTTGGCCAGTGCCCAAAATCCTTATGTTTCATCCCTGCATGTCAGTTCCTTTCAGACGATCCCCTTACCCCTGTCGGTGCTCCTCAGTGACCTCACGGCTGAGGGTTTTAACTTTTCTCTTGAGAATTAGAATCATAAGTACAGTCGTATAGCTCATTGCAATACTTCAGCTCTTTGGGCAAATAGTACCCTAGACTGTCCTCATCATTTAGTTGAGTATTCTAGATGATGGAATTGATTTGATTTGGTTTGATTTGATATTCCAGATGATTCCAGATGATATTCCAGATGATTCCTCCATTTAAATAAATGTTACTATTTTAGTAATCAACCTAGCTAGCTAGTAAAATGTACTCGGGTCTGCAGCTGCCATTTTCTGTTGGGAAAGAGAAATGGCCCTGTATTTACCAGAAAAGGTAGATCATCCACCATGGCAGAAGAGGAAGATTCAGACTGTTGAGGGACCACTTGTCACATTGTCCAAGGTGGGTTTGTCTTATGATAAACAATGCATTTTCTGTCCAGATAAAGATGTTGATACAGCATTGAAAAAGACCCACCACTGACCAAACATCTCTTTGTTTTCCAGTACAACAGGAGTGCATCCCTCAGGCCATCCGGTGCCTGGACATCCTGTGCCAGTGTGATCTGAGCGCGAGCATCCAGTTGTGGAGAATACAGCCCATCGAGCCTGTGGACAGACATGTCAGTAACTCATCAAATATGATACAATATTGTGTAAAACATTGAATTTGTAGATGCATCGAAATTTTGACTTTAGCTCCCCTTCTCCCCACGTTTTAGACGTTACATGTGGAACATCAGGCTCACCCCACGAGAAGCAGTGCATGATCAATGCCACCCTCAACAAGGTGATCAGCTGGAAGTTATGTACTCTCTCACTCTGGGGGTAAGACATCATTTAAACATCACATATATAAATTCCCACTGTGCCCATGATAAAATGCAATGTGAATTGTGTTGTATTACTGAATGAAACTGTGAGGAGATGCACTAAGACCAGCCTTTGTGATTTAACTTACGTTAAGTACATTACTTTAGTTGGCTGCTTTGAGCAAAACTTGAATGTAATATAACCTATTCTAGGACCCTATTGTTTGTGTATGATCTTTATTCATTGTTGACTTGTTGTTCAACAACGTCAGGTATAGACAGGGATGACTGGGGCCTTCAGCAAGTAAGACACAGGATAAGAAATCATTTGAACATCACAGATATAAATACCCACTGTGTCCATGGTAAAGTTAATTACATTACTTTAGTTGGCTGCTTTGAGCAAAACGTGTATGTAATATAACCTATTCTGGGAGACTAGTGTGTGTGTTTGAACTATGTGAAATATTTCCCCCTGAAAACAGGTACTGACAGGAGGAAGAATATGAGTCTGCCAGAGGTCGTCACGCTGGATGGGGATGGGGATGGAGGCTTTGGTGGGCCACACAACCAAGAAGCAGGTGTCCTTTCCAGTGATGTGGAGCTGATCTTGGACCTAGTGCCAGTAAGGATGATATTCACCAAGGCAGTAAGACCCTCCCTCCTTGATATAGAAATCCTTTGACTTCACTGCCTCTTCAATGGTAAGGACCCTTGCACCATAGGGACACTTGACCTCCACCACTGCTGTTGTACCCACCAGACCATCCGGTGAGGCACCCAGGATCCCAGACCATGTGACCCAAAGCCCTGACTCCTGCACATCCATCCCTTTAACCAAGTGTTTCCCAAACTCGGTCCTGGGGACCCCAAGGGGTGCACGTTTAGTTTTTTGCCCTAGCACTACACAGCTGATTAAAATCATCAAAGCTTGATGATTAGTTGATTATTTGAATCCGCTGTGTAGTGCTCGGGCAAAAACCCTGCTGTAGCCATTTAGAATGCCTTGATGTCCTCCTCTTCATTACCTGTGCCCCACTTTACAGACAACACCCCATCCAACGACTGTGATCTGAGGACAATTTTATCAGCTACCGAGTAATGCGCTTGGCCTTAACCACTGTGCCATAATTGCTGGCCGTCAACCTTCCTCTTCTCATGGTGTGCCGGTTGGTGTGGTGTCCAACTGTTGCCTGCCGGCCAGGATGCCTGCAACAGTTCCTTAGCCACAGAAGATCCTCCTTTGTGCGCTCTCGGGACAGAGGGTTGTAGTCTTCAGCCGAGTACAGGTCCTTCACTGACTGACTGCACCTGGTTGGGCACGGCTGGCTTCCTCCACTCGCATTCCACATCCGTACGGCGGATATTGTGAACCGCCAAAATAGGCTGCATGGCTACACGTATGAGCTCCACGGAGGCATTCACATGTGGTAGAGAGAATCCCCTGGTCACCTATAGAGACCTGCCAAGAGAAAGGATGTTAAGTGTCACATGGCTTTCAATGCATGACTTTGAACACCTTGAAATGCATTTGTTGTAAGAAATGTGCTATATACTGTAAATAAAGTTTGATTTGATTGATAACATTACAGCTATAGAATATTTAATAATTGTAGTTTTTCCATAAACTTTTAATTGATAACTTGGCATTTTTATCACTTGACATATCAATCATATAGTGGGAAGGATCCTATAAATCAAGACTGTGTGAATGCATGTACCACTCCGAATAAATAAGTACTGTGCCTTTGAAGATTTGTCTCTGGTCATGAAACTACAATGCAGGCTGGATGTCTAAACAAAGTAAATTCTGGATGTCAATAGATTTTTAGATTCATTCTCAATGACAACATTCTAGAACTGAGTTGTCACTCATCTAAGTCAGGTATCAGGGGTAATCTGGTTAATTATATAATTGATTAAGTGGCTCTTTCCTTGTAGAATGTTGACCGCTGTATAGAACACATTGTATTGCTATGATGCTCAAACTTAACTTAATAGCTACACTCACCGACACAGGATAAACTTTCTCCCTCATGCTGGCCCTGACCAAACCGGTAAGTTGCCCCTCACTATAGCTGCACTTCTCCACATGGCCAGACTTGTAGTGGTCTTCTCCCCTTTTAATGCTCATCCTTGAAAAATGCCATAAGGTCTGAAACAGACACCCAAGTCGACATCCTGTACAAACAATTATCTAGGCTAAGTAAAACAAAATACTTGTTTGATCTACTGCTCTGCTAACTAGCTAGCTAAAGTGTAGTCATTGGCTAGCTAAGACAGAGAAAGGGGACGGAAGAAGTTCAACACTTTATTCAATTCATTTCAATACAGCACATGGATCGGCTAGTGTCGGCTAGAGATGAGGTGCTGGAGGTCTTCTCTGTTGCTAATTAGCATTTCAGATTTTTGAGAGTAAATTGAGGTGAATATATTGATAAAACTCACCTTGTCCGAAAGAGAATTACACGGTTATCAAAACGTCACGCCAAGGTAAGCCTACACCAAACAAATACTTAATTTGCAGTGTTTGTAAAATTCACTATGTGAAAAATGAATGGTGGAAAAACGATTGGAACCATTTCTGTGTTTGACCGCTAGGTTTTATGGGTATTATGACACGTCCACTGTGGTGGACTATGTGACGTAGTATGCAGTTTGCGAGGACCACTTTTTGCTCATGAGTGCTACTTTCAGAACTACAGGTAAAAAACGATATAAAAGTACAGAAGAATCTCTTTAACTTAAAAGCCAGGCTGTGGTGAGCTGGAGAATCAGGGTGTACTCTAGCCTCGCTCGTAAACCTCCACATCCAACTGGAGATATAGAGGGCCAATACGTGTGTGTGTGTGTGTGTGCACGCGCATGTGTTGCTGTATGGTCCGATGGTGTTGACCCAGTGTGTCCATCAGGCTGTGCTGCTCTGATAACATGTCTCACTGTGGTATTGGATTGTATTTGTTGTGTATGTACACATCAGACTGAAGTGGCTCAATGTTTTGTTTGTTGAAGATGGATATAATCCAGTCCTAGTCATTAATATCCCCCCCCCCCCCCCCCCACACGAAGTGGAATGTCCCCCCCCCCCCCTCCACATTTCATTCTAATCGACCATATTTACAGTCAATTATGCTTCATGATTAGTAACAGCTAGACACAATTTTAATAAGCACCCATGTCTTGATCCGGAGAAATTCTAAACCATACAAACGTTTAATTGCCTTTTGATTGCACACTGCAAGGTATAATTGAATGGTTTAATGAATAGTTGAATAGGTGTGTGGTCTCGCACAAAAAGAGTAAGGGCCCTATAGAAAGTAACTAGGATGTGGATTTTGATATCTGCCATAATAAGACTATAATCTGCATCAGTCACCAGTTAGTGCAGTCGCTCTCCTGATCATCTATATTTGCAAAGCTTGCTGACAAACAAGTCAACCTTTTCTTAAAAGTAAAATGATTTTCATACCTATCATCTTTTCTCTGTATCTCTGTATCTCTTGTCTGTGTATCAGGCCTGATGTTTATTTGTCTGGTTTTCTAAGCTGTTGTTTATCTCCTGTGTCAGTTGAAGGCAGATAAACTGATGTGTTCATCTCTCTCCCCTCTCTCGCTCCCCCCCCCCCCCCCCCCTTTTCTCTCTCTCTCTCTCTCTCTCTCCTCTCTCTCTCTCTCTCTCTCTCTCTCTCTCACTGATACCTAGGTGTCAGAACTGGTTTGGTCCTGCTGTTTTTCTAATGTGTTGTTCTCTCTCCTCTCTCTCCCAGGTGTCAGGTGTGTCTCCAGGGGAGAGGGAGAGCCAGGCTCCAGGTCTGCTGTTAGCTCCAGGGGTGAGGTGGGGACAGACACCCATCAACCAGCTCACACCCTGGGAGACTGATGAACCCCCTGCCAAACAGCAGCACAGAGACTGTGAACCCACAGGTACTGGCACACACATGTATACACGCACACAAACTCACACAATACGCGACACACATGCATACACCACACAAACACACACACCTGCACGCAATACTAGTTATAGCAATCATAGTCTGTATTATTGTAATATTTTCCGATTTAAACAAATCATCTATTTGAGGTGGATATTTCATGAGTATAAATGAGAATGACAATAATGGTTTAAGTTTAGGAGCTGTAGATGTTGAGATCCTATAGTAATGAAGTGAACCCAGAATGGCTGTGCCCTGCAGCAGTCAATTTCCCTCTGTTACGCTGCTCTGCTGGCCTCTGCCTCTCACTCATGGAGAATAGGTCTAATTTAAGAACAATACACAATGATACAGCCACTGCACTTGCTCCATTGGAACCTCTACTATTAATATACTATCATACTATAGACACTATGAATACGGTATCGAATGATGTATTCAAGAAACGCAATGAATATTGTATACTTCCATAACAAATATCCCATTTCCACATTCCTAATACTGTAGCGAGCAATACAATGAATACTGTATATTCAAGCAATACCCATTATATACAATACTGAGTAGTCAGTATTCCATGTCCGTCATACTGTAGTTCTACATTACTAACTCGACATATTATCTGCTAACTGTAATTGAAGCAGTGTCAATAAAGATTTCAATAATTAACCTGTCACAGCTAAGACACTGATTATGTAGACGCAGAGAAATAATACCTTTTTCATGGAAAATAAGTATTTTAGCTCTTGTCAGCTGAGACTGCCAGTACAGGCTTTGCTACTACTAAATATCTAGTTTCTCAAAAAAAAACACTAAGACCTATCAAATGGAAATACGTTTTGTGCTGTTGTCTATTTGAGATACGCCTCCACCACTTCTAAATATCTAGTTTCTCAAACGCATAACTAATACTTCTCCAATTAAAATAAGTCCTCTCTGCTCTTGTCTGTTCGAGAATCTTTGCCACCACTAAATGGCTTTGACCAAAAGCTTTGGCTAGTTTCTCCAACTTCTCACTGAGGACACTGTTCCTATCGTGTTCTTCTTCTGGAGGTTGGGGGTCAGAGCAGTGCTCTCTGTCCCCTGGTATGTTCTCTAAGGACCCTGCTGGGAGGGTATAGAGGGGCGCACACACACACACACACACACACACACACAAAGAGATACACACACACACACACAGTCCTCAGGGACCCTGCTGTGTGGGGTATAGAGGTGGCTGAATGGTCCATGGAGCCCTGTGGTATTAGTAATGTGGCCAGACGACTGAGGCTTTGCCTACAAGCACGGACTGACACACACACACACACACACACACACACACACACACACACACCAGCCTCAACCACAGAGTGAGATGTCACCCATGCAGAATGCTGCTGCATATGACACTCAATCCAAGCATAGTGTTGCATATTAATATGTGTGTGTGTGTGTGTGTGTGTGTGTGTGTGTGTGTGTGAAAACGTTTGGCATCCGCAATGAAACCAGCTCCGCACTTCGCTGAACTGAGTTGCAAGAAACTTCCCCTCCAACTCTGCCAGAATGAATCAATGGTTTAAATAGGAACTTCTCCGCAGTTGGTTGTTATCAATACGTTTCTGTTCGGAAAAGTTAACTTTTCGCTTATGAGAAAGATTAAAGGCTTTGATTTCTGAAGCGTTGCCTCAGTCGGTATGTTAACAATTAGTGGTTGATTGAGCAATTCACCAAATTGAATATAATTCTTATAAAAGGACCAAGGAGCACTTACGAAACAACCAATATTTCATCCTCATACATTTAAATGATGGGGTACAAGAGAGCAATCAGGAGAAGGGTTCCATTTAATGTTAATGCAATTACTTTTCCCTTCTTAAATCTTTCATTAGCTTTGCTGCAAGACGACTCGCAAATGTGAGTGCATGTTAGCCATCGCTAATGAGTTCCGTCTTGTTACTTCATTGTATATTTTAGTCCAAAGACTGATTGTAGTTCAGAAAATGTACAGGAACTCAAGATGGAGAACAGGGAGGAGAGATACATATCAACTTGTAATCAATTCTGGCACCTCGTTGAAATCCTACTAATCAGGACAAAATAATAATATTATATTGGATTTCTCTCTCATTACTGGTTTTAATCAAGTTTAGTAGGAATGAAGTGGTATAGTGCTGAGATAGTTAGCCTGAGGATGGATGACCATTATGCACTGAGATGCTCCTTCTCCCAGTCTAGCACATCCTCTCTCTCTCTTCTCCTCTCTCTCCCTCTTCTCACCTCAGTCTTCTCTCGCCTCTCTCTCTCTCTCTCTTCTCTCTTCTTATTCTCGTCTCTCTCCTCTCTGTTCTCGTCTCATCCATTCTCTCTCTATTCTCTCCTCTCCTTCTCTCTCTTCTTTTTGGGCCTTTCCTTCCTCTCCTCTCTCTCCTTCCTCTCTTCTCTCTCTCTTCTTCCTCCTCTCCCCCTCCTCTTTCTCCTCTTCCCCTCTCTCTCTCTCCTGCTCTTTCTCCCCTCTCTCCTCTTTTCCTCTCTCTCTCTCCTCTCTCCCTCTCTCGTCTCTCTCTCCTCTCTCTCTCCTCCTCTTCTCCTCTCCTCCTCTTCTCTCTCTCCTCTCTCCTTCTCCCTCTCTCTCGTCTCTCTCTCTCTCTCTTCTTTTCTCGCCATGTAGAACTACTTTAATACATAACTTAGCTAGCTACATGGTAAACAGCTCTCATCGCTGAGACCATGGACTGAACGTGTTCCCTGTAGGCATACTGTGTATATACACTGAGTATACAAATCGTTAAGGACACATTCCTAATAATATATTGAGTTGCACCCTTTTGCCCTCAGAACAGCCTCAATTCGTCTGGGCATGGACTCTATAAGGTGTCGTAAAGCGTTCCACAGGGATGCTGGCCCATGTTGACTCCAATGCTTCCCACAGTTGTGTCAAGTTGGTTGGATGTCCTTTGGCTGGTGGACCATTCTTGATACACATGGGAAACTGCTGAGCATGAAAAACCCAGCAGCGTTGCAGTTCTTGACACAAACCAGTGCACCTTGCACCTACTACCATACCCCGTTCAAAGGCAATTAAATATTTTGTCATGCCCATTCAACCTCTGAATGGCACACATATATATGCAATCCATGTCTCAAGGTAAAAAAAAAAAAAATCCTTCCTTAACCTGTCTCCTCCCCTTCATCTACACTGATTGAAATGGATTTAACAAGTGACATAAATAAGGGATCATAGCTTTCACCTGGATTCACCTGGTCAGTCTATGTCATGGAAAGAGCAGGTGTTCTTAATGTTTCGTACACTCAGTGTATATGTTCAATGTGTTAACTGTAGGCCCCCTATATATGTACAGTTATTTGTGCAATTTGTTCAGCTATCTAAAAGGATCAAGTAGACAATGATTTATTGTAATAATAAGCAAAACTCTCTCTCTCTCCCTCCTTCCCCCTCTCTCTCCCTCCTTCACGCTCTGTCCCTCTCTCACCTTCCTTCTCTCTCTCTCTCTCCCTCCCTCCCTGTCTCTCTCTTTCTCCAGGTCCTCCATGGGTACCTTCAGTAGCAGCAGTGACCAAGTCCAGTCTCCTGCCCCACTCCTATCCCCTCCAGCCCCCCTCCTTCAGCCACAGTGTCACTGTCCAGTGCCCTATCATAGGTCTGACCCCCTCCATCCAGTCACCCATGCCCCTCCACCCCCACCCGCTCATGACAGCCCACTTCCAGCTACCCCCGCACTCCACCGCCCACCAACCCCCCTCCATGGTGCTCAGAATGCCCTACCAGCCACCCTACCCCTTGGCCCAGCCCCCTGTCTTCTCCTCGCCCCTCTCCACCCCCTCAGGTGGCCCCAGGGGAGCGCACCCCAACCAACACAACCACAGAGTGATGGGGAACGGTCATCTGACGCCGCACCCCCCTCCTCACCAGTCTCACCCAACTCACCCTCTCATACAGCCCCCCGCCCTGCCTCTGACCAATGGGCAGTTGGCGCGGCTAGTTTCGCCTACTTCAGTAGCCAATCAGGATGGTCCTACAGGGCCCAATGGGCTGCAGATGCTGAGGACGGTGGGGATGGGAAAGTACGAGTTCACAGACCCAGGACATCCTAAAGGTAAGACAGACCCACTCTGACTGGGCAAGCCTGAAGTCACATACACCAAATGTAAGATAGGCCCGCTACAACTGTATTCTCCACTTATTTTGTTTTTTACTGAGTAGGTTTTCTCAGCTATAACTAATCTTTTCTCTGGGTAATGTGTGGTTTGTACAGGGAACAGCTTCTCTGGGTAGAGTGTGGTTTGTACAGGGAACAGCTTCTCTGGGTAGAGTGTGGTTTGTACAGGGAACAGCTTCTCTGGGTAAAGTGTGGTTTGTACAGGGAACAGCTTCTCTGGGTAAAGTGTGGTTTGTACAGGGAACAGCTTCTCTGGGTAGAGTGTGGTTTGTACAGGGAACAGCTTCTCTGTTGTAAAGTGTGGTTTGTACAGGGAAACAGCTTCTCTGGGTAGAGTGTGGTTTGTACAGGGAACAGCTTCTGGGTAAAGTGTGTGTTGTACAGGGAACAGCTTCTCTGGGTAGAGTGTGGTTTGTACAGGGAACAGCTTCTCTGTGTAAAGTGTGGTTTGTACAGGGAACAGCTTCTCTGTGTAAAGTGTGGTTTGTACAGGGAACGACTTCTCTGGGTAGAGTGTGGTTTGTACAGGGAAACAGACTTCTCTGGTTAGAGTGTGGTTTGTTACAGGGAACAGGTTCTCTGGGTAGAGTGTGGTTTGTACAGGGAACAGGTTCTCTGGGTAAGTGTGGGTTTGTACAGGGAACAGCTTCTATGGGTAGAGTGTGGTTTGTACAGGGAACATGTCTCTGGGGTAAAGTGTGGTTTGTACCGGGAACAGCTTCTCTGTGGTAAAGTGTGGTTTGTACAGGGAACAGGTTCTCTGGGTAAAGTGTGGTTTGTACAGGGAACAGCTTCTCTGGGTAGAGTGTGGTTTGTACAGCGAACAGGTTCTCTGGGTAAAGTGTGGTTTGTACAGGGAACAGCTTCTCTGGGTAGAGTGTGGTTTGTACAGGGAACAGGTTCTCTGGGTAAAGTGTGGTTTGTACAGGGAACAGCTTCTCTGGGTAAAGTGTGGTTTGTACAGGGAACAGCTTCTCTGGGTAGAGTGTGGTTTGTACAGGGAACACCTTCTCTGGGTAGTTTGTGTTGCCAGCACTCCATAAACAACACTACAAACACATCTAAACAGGAGGCAGTTAAAACAATACCTGGAACTGGTGCCAAATCTCTACAAAGCTGCACCAAGGTCACAGCTTACACATGCACACACACACACTTTATTCCATTGTTTTAAATTATCCAGACACACCTACAGTCACTTTTAAGCTTCTTTTAAGCCTGGCAAACTCTTGTTGTCTTTGTGAAGACTGCGAGCGGCGCGGTATGGCGAGCGGCCCCGGCCTCGGCTGCGTCTCAAAGCCGTAAATTGCTGTTTGTTAACCTTGGAGTTTGTGATGCAGCGCCAGAGACAGATGTTCTATATTCCCTGACCAATTTTCACATTTAATTAAGCTTTTAATCTAGAGTTTAGATTGGCCCTTTTTCCCCCCAAACTCATTTTTATATATATCTTTTTTTGTAGATCAATAGAACGTGTGCAAATTAGTTTCCAGATTGATGTAGAAAGCAATTGTGGCAGTCGGAGCGGGAGGTACCTGATACACATTTAAATGAGACAGCAGGTGGAATGGAAACACACAGACAGTTAGAGTGAGGACGCATTGAACTGAAGTCCAGCAGTAAATATCTGTTGCATCTCCTGTTTGCTTAGATACTGGCTGGGTTTTGTAATGGACACATTGTTGCTACGCTGTAATTTATGGTATTTGGTTGAATAGCTACGGTGTTGTGTGTTTTTTAATTCATACATTGTGTGTTTCACAATCTATATACTGTCGTATTTAGTCCAATAGCCAAAGCTAATCCGAATTGTTTGCAACTACACAAAACCAGAGCTTTCTTTCCAAAAGTACTAGTACCAGTAAATATTCTATTTCATAAATGCATGGGGGTTCTGCTTAGAATCATGAGACGTGACGAGATGGAGTACCACTATGAAATATTCAGCGGTAGAAATGAGCATACAGATCTCACTGCAGTAGTAAAGGCACAGGAATAGCAGAGTGCCATTCAGAGCAGCAGCAGCAGCGGCACAGGAGCAGGTGTCAAATCGGAGCAGAGGGTTCTTGAAAACCTTGTTTGCGCACAGGGTCGAGTGAACACTTTTGGTGCTCATATGACTACATTGTCTAGATTCCCTTCACTCTTACCTCTGACTATTTTCATAGATGAATGCCAGTAAGGTCATAGCCTGGATAATAGACTGCTGTACGACCCTGAGAGGGTTTATCCGTGAGAGAATTAGCCAGCCGTCGTGTTCACATGCTGCTGCCGTCTCAGCAACCTGCTTTTGTCCTCTCAGAGCGTAGCGGAGCGGAGAGAGACACCTTCCAGACTATAAGAACACTTAACCTTGCTGCCGTGATAGCCAGCCAGTCAGCCAGTCAGCCACCACAAACCAGCCTGTCGTGCAGGGCCTGTCTTCATAACATTTTTACTGCACCACCTGCTGTACTCTCTCTTTCTCTTGCTCATTCGCATTGTGGTCTCTACCCTCTCTCTACCTCTTTTTTTCTCTCTTTCTCTTGGTCTCCTGCTGTGCTCAGTCTCTTTCTCATGCTCTCTCTCTCTCTCTCTCTCTCTCTCTCTCTCTCTCTCTATCATCTATATAGATCTATAGATATCTATCTCTCTCTCTCTCTCTCTACTCCTATCTCTCTCTCTCTCAGATACCCCTCATGTCACTAAACATCAGTGGCCATCAGGATGTGATGGGGAGGGTGGGGGGGGACAGGAGGGGTACAGGGGGAGCAGGTAGCTGACTAGTGGTGGCTATTCAGCAGCCTGATGGTCTGGGGGTAGAAGCTATTGGCCAGTCTGTTAGTTTCTGCCAGGATGCTCCTGCCCTGCCCACGTCTGAGTGATGGAAGCGGGGAGAACAGGCTGTGGCTCGGGTGGCTGAGGTCCCTGACGATCTTCTTGGACTTCCTGCGACATCTGGTGTTGTAGGTGTCCTGGAGTAAAGGCAGTGTGCACCCAAAGGTGCATTCGGCTGAGCGTACCACCCTCTGTAGCGCCTTGCGGTCAGAGGCGGTGCAGTTGCCGTACCTTGCTCAAATTAATCAAATGTTATGTGTCACATGCTTCGTAAACAACATGTGTAGACCAACAATGCTTACTTTTGGGCCCTTCCCAACAATGCAGAGAGAAAAACAGAAAAATAATAACACGAGGAATAAATACACAATGAGGGACGATAACTTGGCTATATACACAGGGTAACTGTACCTAGTCGATGTGCAGGGGTACGAGGTAATTGAGGTAGATATGTACATATAGCTAGGGATGCAGCCCGACAGTATGCTCTCGATGGTGCTCCTGTAGAACACTGTGACAGGCCGAATTTCTACAGCCTCCTGAGGTTGAAGAGTCGCTGTTGTGCCTTCTTCACCGCGGTGTCTGTGTGGTTTGACCATTTCAGCTCCTCAGATGTGTACGCCGAGGAACTTGACGTTTTTGACCATCTCCACGGCGGCCCCGTTGATGAGGATGGGGACGTGCCCAGCCTGGTTCCTCCTGAAGTCCACTGTAGTGCTGTGTAGTGCTGTGGCAAGGTTACTCCTCTAACATTGGGGAGTGGGCTAGGCTGGGCTGGGCTGGGCTCAGAAGCAAGATGGTATAAGTTTTCTCTAAGCAATGGTCCAGGGTTATTTTTCATCCCATAATAGTTAATGTTAGGATTGGGGGAAGGTAATCTGGTCTTAGATCTGTGGTTAGGGGGGACTTTTACCACTCCTAACATGCACGCGCTCACATGCACAAACACACACTGTGTTTCACTTGACTGACAGATATGGATGTCCTTGCTTAAACAAAAATCTGAATTATCTGCTTGGTTCTATTTTAGCACCCACTTTGGCACGGTCTTGGTGGGCTTGGATATTGAGAGGCAGTCTTTGTAACGGGTTTCTTTTATGATAGTTTTCCACCAGCTCTGAGGATGGATTTTTACATTATGTCAGAGTGCTTCAAATTCACTATAAAAAGAGTAAGCTGATTTGAATGGCTCTCAGTAGGATCTAGCCACTTTAAGTGTTGGTGTGATTAGGAGCCCAGTGTGTTGAGCCCTGTGTGTGTGTGCGTGTGTGTGTGTGTGTGCCTGTGTGTGTGCATGTGTGTGAGACATACAGTAAGCTCTGTAAATGCCTATCATTGCCCTATATGAAACCGTATGACCTTTCAGTGGCCTTCTCATCAACTGTCAGCAGCCTAGGCTTAATTGTCCATCTTTGTTTCACTCATTATTTTTCAGTCTGATGGAGAGAGGGAGAGAACGAGTGAAAGAGAGAGAGGGGGAGAGAAAAAGCTGGAGAGGGGGGAGAAAGTAAGAACGAGAGACACATACAGAGAGGGATTAAAAGAGACACACAGGGAGAGAGAGAGAAAGGGAGACAGAAACAGAAAGGGAGACAGAAAGAGAGATGGTAACATCTTTACCCAAATCCTCCTGGTCTGTCTGGGTTCTCCAGGATGAGTGATGGTTGTAGAGGGTATAAACTGATGACTGGGGTGTTATCTAGCTGTCATCCTCCTGTGTATGTATTAACCCCACCATGACAGGTCTGAATGGCAAATAGAGGTGAGATCCTCTCCGATCCCCTACAGACACAGCTATACAGACAGCTATGGATTTCAGATTAAATACTAAGCACGCACACTTAGGAGGCTACCACTGAGCAAATACTGTAGCTAGCCCGCGGACTCACACACGTGCGCACACACACACACACACACACACACACACACACACACACACACACACACACACACACACACACACACACACACACACACACACATACATACACACTAGTACACGCTGTAGCACAGGCACACACACTGTGCTTTATATATATATATAAAAGATAATACGGCTGAGCAGACGTTTGTTTGGATGGTACAGACTGAGACGGTGCACGTTTATATTCAATCCAGCTGTCTCATGCAAACAAGCAATCTGGACTTAAGTCCCCCTCTTTCACTCTCTCCGTCTCTTTCTCATTCTCTCTCTTTCCCACTAATCGATTCTTCCTTTAGATTTCCCCTGTCACTCTCCTAATCGTGGCGTTCCCAGTTGAAAACAGGCCATTAAAAGACTGACTTACACCACTGGCCT